GCGATGAAGTGAAGGACATTGAACTAAAAGTGGTCGAAATCGCGAGACTTCAAGAAATATTCACCGATAATGTACTGAAACAGGAAATCGATTTGAATAAACTCAACGATTTGACCGTTTCTTCCACTGAAAACATCAGAGGAGGGAATCAACAGTTGAGAGAAGCCATGAAGAAAAATGCGGGCTTTAGGGTATGGATTCTCTTCTTCATCACTACTCTCGCATTCACTGTACTATTCCTCGACTGGTATAACGATTAACTCAAACATTGTTACCATATATTAACTTTTAAATACTGTTTTATTAAATAAATTTTTTTAAATAATTTAATTAAATGACAATAAATTAATGGAAGACTCGAGCGCTATATAAGCGCAGAGCGGGTCAAAGGATAGGGAATATACGGGACTATTATTGGTGCCGACGTAATACATTTGAATGCATTTCTTGGGATACCTTTTGTCCCAAAGTCTTGTCAGACCATATCTGGCGGTTCCGGACATAACAGTGAATGAATGATCCGATGAAATACAGTAGACGACTGAGTCGTGCGGATCTTCCATATTGAGCACACTTTAATGTCAATTTAAATGCAATCAATCTATGAATCTATTAGTTTCATGAATGGATGGACACTACCTTTGGTGGGTAGACCTGGTGTCCCACAACCGGACAAAGCTATCGTAACCACAACTAAACACCTCATTATTTGATTCCCAGAAGCTGTGCAAAACTCCGGCCCCTCTTTTGTGGTCGACTCCAAATTGGTCCAAAAGTTGACCACTTATTCAAGTATTCAATGGTTTAAGTATTAGATTAAATATATAACAAGTAAATAATTGACAAACCTTTGGATATCAAATAATAGTAAGGGTTGGAAAGGACCACAACCCGCAGAACCCGATATGAAGTTACCGCTAAACTCATTGATAGCTAAACTCAAAACCCTATCGTTAACAGCGATTGTTTTCTCAAGTCTTAAGGCATAATTTGATTCCCATTTGTCGCAAACAAGAGACCAGATCTTAATGTGTTTGTCTTTAGAACCGGATATAATTGTTTTGTTTTTANNNTCAAACTGTATTCAGTGGTTTAGTCAAAGAGACATCTGTCCAACAATACCCGGTTTCCGACCGATTCCTAGTCTTCCAGTTATTGACTAAAATGTTTCAGAAATATTCTGAAGGTTTGAATGATTTTTTCTCAACAATTTTATGACTTAAGATAAATGAATTGTTTTGCGAAACACAGAATTGAAGGCAAATCGACCCGAATTTCTATACGGATTACTGCAGTTGGTTGAGGGCGAACGCGACCCCCGATGTCTTCTCGTGGTCTTTCGACTCATGCATTCAGTTATTGAATCATTAGATTTAGGTATTGATTGGAAAAGTGTACAACAATTTGATTACACGGTGTTCTTTCAATAGATCCATACACTGAGGATGTTTTTGAAGTGATTTCATGCTATTTTCCAATTCTCTTCACTCCTGTAAGAAAATATTTACTGAAATAGACTTACAATATATACAGCAATATAAGTAAATAATAAACCATTACTTGTATTGATAGACTCCTGACGATGAATACGGCATAACAAAGGAAGACCTGTCCGGTGAACTTCACCGGTGTTTCACAGCGTGTCCACAATTTGCTCCGTTTTTATTTCCATTGGTTTTGGAAAAATTAGAGTCAGAGCTGATAACAGCCAAAATAGATTCATATAAAGTGATTGAAGGCGTTTCTCGTAATTATGGTTACGAAAGAATCAACCAATTTATTCCTCAACTCTGGACAGCCATTAGAGTCGATGTTCTTAAGCCTAAACTATTGGAGACTGAGATCTCAGAGCACGCCTTAAAGGCTTTGATTTCAATAAGCGATGCAATGATTGAAAACGAACTGATGTTTGATTCGTTTACAAAACAAATTTGGACCGATATTTCCAATGCATTTAATAAACCAGAACTGGATTTAGTTGACTCCGGAGTTAGTATAATGTTGGCAACAATTTCATCAAATGCTTATGCATTCAATCAAATGATTACACAATTGATGCCTATTTTACTCAAACAATTCACTTTCTGTCAAAAAGAGTCAACTCGTGTTGATATTATTGAATCAATTTCTAGAATCTTAAGCCATTCGCGAAATATATCTCAAAAACAGATCAATTTAATTAACTTCGAGTCTTTGTTCACACTTATGACATCTCTATCAGTGGCCGACACAGAGACTGATAATATTAGGGAAAGTGTTGTCTCATGTCTTCAACAATTGATTCAATTGAAGCAAATGAATGACAATAAGTGGGAAATCATTACAAAAGTGTTGCATTCATTGCTTGAGAATTGTTTAAATGGACAACAATTATTGTGAGTGAAATTTACATCACTATAAACTTAATGAAATTGTTTGATAATAATTTTGAATTTCAGGTCAAAAACATATTTATTGATTGAATCCATCACTAAATTGAATCCAAAATTAATTCAAGAATTAATTCAATCATTGATCGATAAATTTGGTAATTATTATTAACTTTAATTTAATACTTGAGTAAAATAACAGAAATATTGTTTTTAGATTCAGACTACACAACAGAAGTGAATCAAAAGCGCATTATTTGCACTTTAAATGCAATGGAAGTCGCGTCGAGTGAAGTGTATTGTTTTAAGTCAATAACCGCTCATTTAGTCGAAGAAATTAAAGCCAATTCTTATTGTAAGTGATCATTATTTTTGCTATAATTTTATTAATGATGACATGGATGTATTATACATTCTGCATACATGTATCATTCACACAGACGTTGATGACAATCAAGAGCAGTATTCCATGCATTTAACGCAAAGCCTTTCCAAATGTATTGAAAAGCAAACAAAAGTCGAAATTGAAGAAGAATTGCAGTCATTCTTATTCAATGAATGTTTTGATCGATTGATTCAACACTGCATTCACGTATCAATTTGTACGGACAATAAGTCGGGAACAGTTGTAAACATGAAACTAATGGACAGTTTGTTTGGAGTGCTTGGAAGGGGTGTTTCAAAACTAAATATCAAATACAGTCAACATTTGTCCGAAAGTTTACTACAATTCTCTGTTATGGGAAAAGTGGACGAACTCTTACCAGTGCTTCCGCCCACTTGTTTCTGCACATATGAAACGGGCCTCAAGTTCTTGGATTCGCTTAACGCCACTCAAGCCCTCATTGTTTTCGGATTGACTAATGAACTCATATCTAACCTCAAATACCAGATAAATGCCGACCAATTGACAGAACTGTTCGACAAACTCGTAATATTTGCCACAAATAATAAGTACAATAATCTAAAGATTTGTATTTTGGCCACAAAATCAATCGGAGCTCTCGTTAATCGATTTGACGGCAAAATTGACGCTTTAAATGAAAAACTCAAACAATTCTTAAAACAAACCGAAGAAAGACTCGATGACAGCGAACTGTCCGAAGAAAATCAGTTATTGATAATCAATGCATTGATTTGGAGCACAAAAGGTTTGGTAATTGGAGGACATATTGTGCGCAAGGATTTCATTGCTTTACTCATGAAATTGATTGAACACAACAACAGTTTAATCCGAAATGAAATCTCGAAAGCGTTTGCCGTCATTCAGAGCAAAGATGAGAGTTGTCTCACCAGTGAAAACAACGCAAACGTTCGCATCCTTTATAACCAGAGCTTTTATTTTGAGACTTTTGACACACTTTTGAGCGGATACTTGAAATATAAGACCGAAGACTCGGACAGAAAGCAGATATTTTTGAGCGCTTTATTGACTCAATTGAATTTGATACCAAAGGCTGTGTTTTGTAATGAACTCAAAAGATTATTACCGATGCTTTTAGACGCCATCAGTGATCACTCAATCACTTCCGACTGTTGTCGTGATAATCAAAGAGCAGCGCTCGACGCTATCTATCAGATATTGATTGACAAAAATGAGCGCATATTAGATCCCAGTTTGAAGAGCACTGTTAATAATTGTGTCAATTTATCGATCAATAGTCCGTATCTTGAGGTGAGACGCTCTGCACTCAACTGTTTGGCAGAAATTGCCCACAATTTTGAGGATTCAATTCTGAATCACTTGAGAGACGAAGTCGTCAGGAATTTAAGGAAAACATTGAACGATAGAAAACGAATCGTACGGAAGAGCGCTGTGAGAGCGCGATGTAAATGGATTCTTATCGGACAACCGGGAAAGTGAAGTCAAGATTAACATCATTTACCGCTATATATCACAAAACAACTGTTAATCCTTGTCCTCTGTCTCTATTATTCAATGCATTATCCAAACCAATAATAGCTGTCGAGTTAATGATGTGATTGAATGGCAGATATAGTGGACATTTGAATACAATTTATAGTATAGTGTATTGAAATCGCATTTTTAATATTTTTATGTTTAACAATAAAGTATTTCAACCAATTATTAACAATAATATATTTCATTACATTTTATGTATCCATTCATTGATTCAATTTATAATCAAAATTAACTCAAAGAAAACATGCGTTCAGAAGGATTCGAGTAAACACTGGTTGACCACTTCAAGCAAATGCTGGTTCTCGAGGGCTGCGGCCACTCTCTCCTTGTCTGCCAATTGTTTATTGACCGCCTCTTCGGTGGCGTGACTTCCGGGTGCGATGAAGACATCGATTTTGAACTGTTCCGGTAGTGAACGGATCAGTTTGACTTGGATTGAGAGTCCAATGAGTGTCGCCATTGAACAGTGATCTATAGTCGGCGTAAACCACACGCGACACACGTTGTCCTTCACATCCACTTCGCAGTGCTCTTCGGAAACCACATTCAGCTCCTCGAGAGTGAAGGGGTGTTCGGGATCGCGGATACCACGGATCAGATCAAACACTTCGCGGGCGTCAATCTCATCGACAAGTCGGTCGTCTTCGTCGGCTCGAGTGGTCTCTCTATCCTTACTCTTGAGATAAACCTTCGGATTAGAGTTTTCCAACTGTTTTGAGTCCATCGGCGGTCACATTGAGTGTCACTTATGAATCAATTGAAGTGAAAATTGACATTAATTTTCAAACCAAATGTTTTTCACATTTGTTTGTAAATAATGGCCAAAAAGAGTCATTCAAAACATGTGTTACTAATGGAGGGGTCGAGTGGTTTGAGTGACTATTTTGTACGTTATATACGAGTGACTCATAAGAGACTCGTTGAGAGACATCTTCACTGATTTGTAATGAAATTTGAAATGAATTTTGATTTTAAATTATAATTACATTAATATTTAATTCATTGTAAAGTGAATTAAAATTAATTGTTATTTAAGTTGTCATTCATTATAAGATTGATATAAAGTATGCGAAGATTTTTTGTGCCATTTTTGAGATACAAATAGAGAGAAAATGTCAAAAAACAATATCAAAGAAATGGTAAATATGTTTGTCTTAATTGTCATGTGATTTGAATTAACGTATAATATAAAGTATGCGAAGATTTTTTGTGCCATTTTTGAGATACAAATAGAGAGAAAATGTCAAAAAACAATATCAAAGAAATGGTAAATATGTTTGTCTTAATTGTCATGTGATTTGAATTAACGTATGGTTTGATTGGATGCTTAGAAATGTCTGAATTCGGATCAAATGAAAGCCAATTCGCCGAACGTTAAGAAAGTATTCATTCAAAGAGATTACAGCGAAGGCACAGACATTAAGTTTCAGATGAAATTCCCACAAGAACTCGAAGAATATGTATTGTTTGCCACCAGTTTTGCCAATCCATCACTTATTTTGATTATAATTGTCGTACAGATTGACAGACAATCGTTTGAACACCTGATCGACACATTGAACACCATATACTCGGACGCCGAGACCATGAGTGGCCGGACCTGTTGTGAGAGTTGTTTGGCCTGCATTACCGCTTACTTGACTTACATTTGTTTCGATACATATTATGACAAAGTATTTGATATCATATTTGAATTCTGTTTCAATGATTTCTCATTTAATTGAATTGCAATTAAAGTGTTTGAAAAAGGTTAATATAAAGTATGCGAAGATTTTTTGTGCCATTTTTGAGATACAAATAGAGAGAAAATGTCAAAAAACAATATCAAAGAAATGGTAAATATGTTTGTCTTAATTGTCATGTGATTTGAATTAACGTATTGTTTGATTGGATGCTTAGAAATGTCTGAATTCGGATCAAATGAAAGCCAATTCGCCGAACGTTAAGAAAGTATTCATCCAAAGAGATTACAGCGAAGGCACAGACATTAAGTTTCAGATGAAATTCCCACAAGAACTCGAAGAATATGTATTGTTTGCCACTAATTCTGCCAATCCATCACTTATTTTGATTGTATTTGTCCTACAGATTGACAGACAATCGTTTGAACACCTGATCGACACATTGAACACCATATACTCGGACGCCGAGACCATGAGTGGCCGGACCTGTTGTGAGAGTTGTTTGGCGTGTATTACCGCTTACTTGACTTACATTTGTTTCGATACATATTATGACAAAGTATTTGATATCATATTTGAATTCTGTTTCAATGATTTCTCATTTAATTGAATTGCAATTAAAGTGTTTGAAAAAGGTTTCGGCTTTTATTGACGAACAAAACGATACGATTTGGAAACCGAGAAATCTTTACGTAACGGATCCCATAGAGAGAGGACTTCGAGTGATTGAGATTGTAATCTATGAGCCGATGGCCAGTCACCCAACGGCCGATCACCCGAATGCCGACAACACTAACTCCAATTCAGTCACTAATAACCGAAAGCCATAAATATATTATTAATCCATTAATCGTTTCCCTATTTTTTACTGTTTGTAAAGAAAGCTTTGTTCACATATTTTCCCTTTCATTAGAGATGAATGTAATTTTCAATGAATTTCATTGTATATGTAATCGTAATTAATGGCAATTTATTCTAATATGAATGCAATTAAACAATATTTATTATTTGTGTTTCAATTTGTTGACAACCGACTCATCTGATCACTGGTCGGCCAACCAATGCTCGCACAGGTATTCAATCAAATGAATGCCTGTTTGTGTGATAACTATAATCATTGATTTACTTGTAATGTGTTTGTCTTGCAATCATTGCAATTGAATTATGTTGGGGTCATTCACTTATGTCGTCAATCATTCATTACTTCGATAACATGTCAATCAACTGATGGTTGAATGAAAAGCACAAACTCACACAAAGTGGGCACTTATATAACCGATAAAATGTGTAACGCTTTATATGAATGGTTAAGCATTTGTTGTTTCAATAAATTGAGAAAAATTCACAATTTTTTGTAATTGAATATTATTTTTGATTATTTTATTATAAATTTAAATACATTTATATTTTGTATAATTAATAGTTTATATAATAATTTTGATTATTACGAAAACTTATAACAAAACAAACCTAATTATCGCCGAAGACTGGATTCCCGAACCACTGATTGTAGATATTTATCTGCAAATGAGATCTCGTTTACCGAAAGACTGGTCCATGAAATCGATTCCTTCAGACAACGCGATAGTCTTCACAGGTTTTGTCACCAAAAACTCTTAATTTGTAATTTAATGGTCTGTCTGTCCGTATAGTGTACTCGTATTTCCTCCACTTCTGCCTAAATATCGGTATTTGTTTCATGAGTTGATTGCAAGAGATTTCGGACACACTTTTGGAACCGTTTCGATCGGAACTGAAGGCAATCGACGACCACTTCTTTACTACAAGTCTGCCATTGATTGCAAGGAAATGGATTCAAATGATGACAATATCGTCAAAGATGTGCCACAAGTGAAGTCTGAGGTGAAACACAAAACTAATCATAAAAAAGGGAAGCGTTTTAACAAAGATAATGACGGAAGGAATCGGAGACCAGACATGAAATTATATGTTCCGCCAAAAGCAAAGAATGACACGAATTGTTCCGAAACCCAGACCTGTTCTCAAGACATAGCCCAAGATATGTGCCAAACAGTGGACGGTCTGACACGACTGGATATCACTGATTCTAGTCATGAGAAGCGCGACAATTGTGACACTCATTGTTGTGATACAAATACAAGCAATTCATCGCCCGTTGATTGCATTGAAAACAATTCATTTGATACTAAAAATTGTTCAGAAGAAGTGAGCGAAGACTTGACTCCACTTAAGGCCACAAACGATGTGAGCGTTGAAGAGTCGTGGGATTCACTGTTTGATGACAATGGAGAGTGTGTTCAACAAGAGTTTGCGGATAATGTTAATGGTCTGATCGGTAGTGAAAAATTAAAGTTAGAAAAGTGTCGAATAGATTACATGAACTTCCAATACAATGAACCGGAAATCGATGGCTCGGAGTTCGCACACGTTCTCGAAGTGTACGACTTCTCGACTGAACTCAAAACTCAGGACATAATGACCTCAATCTCAGTGTTTAAGTAATTGTCACACAATTTCTTATTTTAAATATTAATTTCTTATATTATACTTAAGTTCTCGTGATTTCGATATCAAATGGGTTGACGACACACACGCTTTGGTCGTCTTTTCCAATTCAAACTCAGCCAAAGAAGCCCTTAAATACGTTTATCCAAACATTAAGTTACGGCCACTTTCGCAGGCCATCCGAGACTCTAAAGTGAAAGCTCGTAAAAGTTCCGGTATTTTACAAATCATTTTAGATGACAAACATTACTCTCAACGTCTGTCTTAATACTTATTGAACAGAGTTTTTGCAACCATTCAAACAAAGGCCTCAAACGAGCGCATCATTAGCGCGAAGATTAGTGACTCAATCGCTGGGTTTGAGGGATAGGATTACACCCGAACAGAGGGCCGCCGAAAGGAAGAAGTTGGCCGACGCTAAGGGTTTGTTTGTTTTAGTAAACAATTGTAATGCAGTATAATGTGAGAACAGATGGTCGCCGACCCCCTGTCCTCCCACTCCTATTCTCTTATAATGAAATATAATCTTCATTTATAGAAAAGAGACGTTTGGCTACAAAACAAGTACAAGACGTATGGGAGGGGAATGTCTCGTGAAATGAAAGCTCAATAATATTAAAATTAGACAAATTTGTTAAAAACTTTATTGATATGTTATTAAGTGTTAATAAATTAACTCAATTTTGATTTACTTTTACAAATGAATAAAAACTAAATTAAGGAAATGTTAATACATTTTAGAGACATTTAAATGAAATGATTAAAATCAAAGGTTCGTGTCTTTGGGGCCAAACTTTGGGGCAAATCTGAATCGAATTGCATTCCAAACACGATTTTGTCGTCGATATCGAAGAGACCTCTTGTGATGGAATCATTGGTGTCTGACATTAATTCCTCTTCCAATGGATACATGCCTTCTATTTCCGAACAATACTTGGCATCAGTTGAAGAGTTGGTGTCCACACCAGTCAACCCGTTCTTCACATCCAATTGGGACGCGTTCTTCAACTGTTGGTCGGCTTTCATAACCGTTTGGTCTTTGGCCTGCATTTTGCCGCTTATACTCGACGACGGCTTTGTTTCCGATCGCAAAACATTACTAACGTTTCCGAAAGCCTTTCGCGAAGACTTTCCAAACGGTGTCTTCGTTGACAGCAATCCTTTAGCCGCCGGTGTTGTCAACACTTGGCGTGACTTCGCTTTCATTTCTAATGTCAACACAATTTACAAGTTATTTAACGATTAGTTAAGACTCGGTCTGACCTGTGGTTTGCATTTTGAGAGCGTTGTGTCGATTGTCTGTGAGCTGATCCAACCCACTGTTCTCCTGTTCGAATGCAGACATTCTTCGGCCTTAAATATGACACCATTTAAAAGGTATTTACAGTTCAATTCATTTCAACATTCAATTCAATTCAATTCAATACTTACCGTTAAATTGAGATTCAGTTGAATAATAGGTATTGAAAACAGAAATTGTGGTCAAATTGTGTCAAATATATGAGAAAACGTTAATTAATGAGTGAATCAAAGGTTTGAAACTAAAAATGATTTAACGGTAAAAAGGATTGAAACGATTCACACAAACGACTCAAACAAATGCGCCAAACATTCAAACAATACTTGCGATGCGATAGAGATTTGAACCGAGATTTCAATGCATTTCTCATTGCATTTCTATATTCACTCATTTGTCACACATTTTGCACACAAATGAGGCAAAAGTTGAGTCATTGAAAAGCAGTTGTCATTCAAACCCAATGCCAATCATTCAGTGTTTATGAGTCAAACTTTAGATCAGATTTGAATCGATTTTAAGTCATATTTAATGCTATGAATCAGTGATTAGAGACCGTAAACATCTCTATCGAGTGTTTCAATGATGTAATGGTTTTGTTTACAAAAGTTTTGATTCAAACGAAAGCTGTGTTTATGTCATATAAGGTTTGCTTTAATTATGAGTTAAATATGAATTGCAATCAAATGAACGATTCGGTGAAGAAGAGGAGGAAGAGGGCCACAAAGAGTGGTCAGTGGTTGACATTAGAGACACTTCCGACTGATATTCTGTACGTAATCGTCGGTTATTGCGATACAAGAAGTTTGTTGTGTTTGAGTCGTTGTTCACAAAAGTTGTTTCATTTCGTGACAAACGATCCCTACGTTTGGCTCAATCAAAGTCTCAATGTTTTGGCCACTAATCAGACATCACCTCAAATACAATGCAGATCTTCGCGACTCCTCTCACCCATAGAGAAGTGCCGGATATCGTCGAAGTGGAGGAATGGTGTCTACAATGAGAAGATTATTATTGGCCACAAATGCAGGTCTGAGGTTCTGATGGACTCATTTTGACACAAGTATTGAATGGTTTTAATGTGTTTCACAGATATATGCCATGGATTTGCTTACAAAACGATCTCTTGTGGTTCACAAAGGGTTCACAAATCATTAAATACAAGAGAAATGTCAAAAACGGATCCATTTCTAAGCATTTGGTGCAAAAGGTGTTGAAAACCAATGAAGATATTTGTCGTTTTGTTGTGAGAGAAGAGTTTGTGGTCTCTTGTGGTCGAAAGGGAACGATAGCTGTTTGGGACAAATGTTGTGATAAACGAGTCTTATATCAAAATCAGTTACATTTAAATGATATAAATTGTGTGGACTTTTCTAAAAACAAAACAATTATATCCGGTTCTAAAGACAAACACATTAAGATCTGGTCTCTTGTTTGCGACAAATGGGAATCAAATTATGCCTTAAGACTTGAGAAAACAATCGCTGTTAACGATAGGGTTTTGAGTTTAGCTATCAATGAGTTTAGCGGTAACTTTATATCGGGTTCTGCGGGTTGTGGTCCTCTCCAACCCTTACTATTATTTGATATCCAAAGGTTTGTTAATTATTTACTTGTTATGTATTTAATCTAATACTTAAACCATTGAATACTTGAATAAGTGGTCAACTTTTGGACCAATTTGGAGTCGACCACAAAAGAGGGGCCGGAGTTTTGCACAGCTTTTGGGAATCAAATAATGAGGTGTTTAGTTGTGGTTACGATAGCTTTGTCCGGTTGTGGGACACCAGGTCTACACACCAAAGGTAGTGTCCATCCATTCATTAAACTAATATTTTCATAGATTGATAGCATTTTAATTGACATTAAAGTGTGATCAATATGGAAGATCCGCACGACTCAGTCGTATACTGTATTTCATCGGATCATTCATTCACTGTTATGTCCGGAACCGCCAGATATGGTCTGACAAGACTTTGGGACAAAAGGTATCCCAAGAAATGCATTCAAATGTATTACGTCGGCACCAATAATAGTCCCGTTTATTCCCTATCCTTTGACCCGCTCTGCGCTTATATAGCGCTCGAGTCTTCCATTAATTTATTGTCATTTAATTAAATTATTCAAAATTTTTATTTAATAAACAGTATTTAAAAATTAATATATGATAACAATGTTTGAGTTAATCGTTATACCAGTCGAGGAAGAGTACAGTGAATGCGAGAGTAGTGATGAAGAAGAGAATCCATACCCTAAAGCCCGCATTTTTCTTCATGGCTTCTCTCAACTGTTGATTCCCTCCTCTGATGTTTTCGGTGGAAGAAACGGTCAAATCGTTGAGTTTATTCAAATCGATTTCCTGTTTCAGTACATTATCGGTGAATATTTCTTGAAGTCTCGCGATTTCGACCACTTTTAGTTCAATGTCCTTCACTTCATCGCTCAAACTATTCATGTCTTCATATAAGTGTTGATTCTCTTCTTCAAACATTTGCATCTCATGTTTGTTAAGCTCTAACTGTTGGTACGTCTCCTCATTCGGTATTGCATTCCCGTTAGACTCAATCGACACCTCATTCTTGTTCTCATTATCTCTATTATAGTTCACGTCATAGACGACTGACTCTTCACTTAATTTCGTTTCACCATTTCGTTTGTCTTTATTATTATCAGTCGTGAGATTCGCTTCATTTGAATGCAAGTCTTTGTCGCCAATATTCTGAGTGTTTTTATTTGCAATGATATGCCCTAACCGTAAAAGTCGTTGCTTTTCGACCGCTCTCTTAATTCTAATGGCTTTCTGTTTGCTATGAATATTGCAAACATTTTTCAAATATTTCTCAATCAAATCAATCACATTGTTTTGGTGATCAGTTAATTGACTCTTCGCTCCTCTCTTTGCTAGAAAACAATACAATATATCATTAATGGAGTCAATCATTACAATTAGACAAACACTTTACCATCATTTTTAAGACACTTGATGGCCGTGTCGTTACATATTTTGATGAACTGTTCCACGTCTTCGTCGATCTCATCCCGTTCTCTGTCGGTCATCATTGACGCCAATGATAGCAAAGGAGAGCTGAATTAATACAAAGATCATTAGCTCATAGTATTTGAAACATATGTATACTAAAAACATACTAAATATTGATATAATCTTTTCTGTTATCTAATAAATACTTCTTCATATCAGTGATCGATTTGACCAAATCTTTAGCATTTCTATTGAATTCGTGGTTTGGATTCAAATTAACTTTTGACGTCTTTCTCTCGGCTTTCAATTGTTTATCGTTTGAAATGATTTCACGAATCGCTTTGTTTTGGCGTTTAATTGTTTGCAAACAATCGGCAAAACTTTCAGTTCTGTCCATCATTTTTGGTGATTATCTCAACAAACAAACTGAACGTTGACTTCACTTTACGATCACTTTATGCAACTTTAATCGCAAATCAATAATAGTTTGAAAAGATATAATTAAATTAATATATTATTGCTATAAATAAGTTGACTACAAATGTAATGATAATCGTTAGTAACCATAACTTAATGACATTAAAAGCAATTTTAGTTATCATAAAAATACTGTAAAAGTAGTTTACATTAAATGTTGTCTCAACAGTGTTGTCTATTTTACAGCTATTTTATTACAGGTAATATTACAACACGTAAACACAGTAATCATTACTTACTTTTTAGTTGGTCTTCAATTATTTCAATACAATCCCTCCATATATAGCACTAAATCTTATACAGCATTACATAATAAATGTGATAACATTTACAGGTATTGTGCTTTTATGAGGGACTGTACTCTCATAATGAGAATGAATGGACAAGTAATGGCCCGCAGAGAGCACTGCATTCGCAATACATTGTTATCAATGTTTGCGGAGTTTTAATGATTCAAATGAAATGTTTTGTTTGTGTGGTTTGAAAATGTGTTCAATTCAGTAGTGTTTTGGCATCAGTTGAAGGCATGTGTCGGTCGTATGTTATACGCGATCGTGAGGTTGTGTTATAGCGCTCCTAACCTAACCTAATCCTATCGGCGATAGCATCACATGTGTTGACCCAATGAATGGTGTGTTTTAATGTCAGTTCTGGCCATTCATTGGCGACAATCCATACGTAACTGACATTAACGTCGGACTCATGTCTTCCGCCAATCACTGCTTCAATCGTCACTCAATTGTATTCAAAGCATGAGTTAAACGCTTTGGACAACACTTTCGTAGAGTAAACGCCAGCTTTCATTACATATCAAAACTACATTCAAAGACATTAATGTATGAAAATTGTATGAAAGCTTACAGTGATTGTCACGTATTGTCGCAATTGTTGAATAAATGCCATTCCAAGAGCTAAACTCCCATTACAATGAGTTTAGTAGCGGTGGTAATGGTATTGATTTCATCATACAATTTAGTTTTGTGTGAATCGTCCGAAAGTAACGACACTTCACAGACATGTACTGCACATATGTTGTGTCCGAATACCGATTACGGCTCGCATTCGCCATATATTCCATGCAATTATCTGTTTGTATTGAAATACTTTTGTTTTGAATGTTATTTCTAATGATTTGTATGTATTGTACGCAAAGACCGATTGAATTCTTGGAGTGCGAAGAGCCGTACGATCACAAGGGAAACGAAACGGCCAGACGTGATATGGGATACGGATGTAGTAAAGTATGATTACCATCACTTGACTTACCATTTACTGTGGAAACAACGCTAACAAAGAGTGTCTTAACGTTTTAGTTTGGGGGTCAGAAGTACGAAGACATGCAGTTTACTAAACGAAACTGTACTGTTTTGGACGGCATTCAATGTTTGGGCGATAAAAGCTTCTGGAAAGACGGCTTTCCTTGTGTTAAGTGAGTTGTTGTCCATTATCTCAAACGTCTCTTATGAATGGTTTATTTAATTTAACAGATATTCGGGTCATTATTTTGTGACAACATTACTGTATTCACTATTACTGGGGTTTCTAGGAATGGATCGGTTCTGTTTGGGACACACGGGCACAGCTGTGGGCAAACTGTTAACATTGGGAGGGGTAGGCATTTGGTGGATCGTCGACATTGTACTCCTCGTCACCGGACATCTAATGCCCGAAGACGGCAGCAATTGGATGACTACTGCCTGACACGCTTTGTATCATAATTTCTAACTAATCCCGAGGGCTTTATATTGAATACTCAATGAGAGCTTAGAAATATTGGTAATAATTATAGTCATTATTATAAATACCATTAGTAAGTGATGGTATTAGTAACTATAGTAGTAATTTATGGGCTTTCGATCAGCTTATCATAACTACTGTTTTGCTAAATATGTTTTTTCCGCAGTCTTTGTATGAATGTAAGCATTTACTGTGTTATGAAATGATTACTATTAATACAGTGGAACACATTGTATTGACCACTTTGGTTGAATTGTGGACAAATATATATAGCAAATACTGTCAATATATGTATATAACTAATTATCATTTTATTTTAATCCATTTTTGAAACCGATTTGGCATTTGATATGAAAGTAATGCAAATTTTCAATTAAATTCTTTTCAAATAAAGTGATAAACTATTTTTAACAATTTATTTAGTATTTGTATTTTAATATAACGTTAATCATTAAAACAATGAATTTTAATATATCTGATGTAAGCTTATTAGCAATTTTACCTTCACATCAGTTATGCAGAGATGTGTTAATTATGTAATCAAAGGGGGCTTCAAAAGGGACGAATTGAGCCCTCAATGCATTCAAATGGGTTTCATCTATAAATGGATGCATTCATTGACGTAATTATTGGATGAAACGAAAGCGGATTTTGTTGGATATAATGAGTGAAATGGCAGTCAATGTATTGGCAATGTATGAGTGAATTGAATTGTTTACAACTATTTGTGTTTACAAATCATTATTAATCGGATTAATGGTTGAGTTGAACGCAACACTTGATCCCAATGTGGACAGCAATCACATGATAAGCGCCACAACAACAGCACTATTGACTGCAATGTGTGACTGAATGGCAGTGAACATCACTGAACATCACTCCCATCGGATCCATTCGCAGACTCGACAATCCGCTCAACACTTGTGGCCCAAAATATGTGTCCATTTGTGATCAACACTTAAACACAGCTTTTATTAATTGAGTGTTTTGTGCAATACATGACATATTAAAGCCAATTAACAATTAGTGCCTTTCATTTGTTGATTAAACTGTTTATTACGAAAATATATAACATTTGGTTTGATTTGTCATAAATTGTTTAAATGATTGGATTATTAGATAAATAGTTTGTATAATTGATTGCCAATCGGTTGTGATATATGAATAAGTGGTGAGAAATGGCCGCTCTTTTGGACAAAATCGGAAAGATATTCAAAGGGAGTAACGGCTCGACTGATGTCAAGCGAAAGAAAGTCTATCATAACATCCGTTTCAATGAAAATCCTGAAGACTTTTGGACAATAATCGGTGAATTAGGCGACGGAGCCTTCGGGAAGGTGTATAAGGTTTGTGCCATTTGTGCCACACTTTCATTCATGTATTTATCATTTGTTTATTAATTGCAAATTCATTCAATTGTTTACTCTTTACCCGTTGTTAACAATAAGTTAACCAAATATTGTTTTATTGTCATAATTACATGAGTTATGCATTGAATCGATTGATTTTTTTGTACATCACTTGAAATCACATGAACTTTATTTGAGATATCATTCATTAGATTAATGTCTTTGAGTGGAAACCAGTCCTTCGATGATATATAAAACAAATGCCTTTAAGACTAACTCTTATCATAAAAATAGTAACTCATTGAATGTAAGGAAGATTTTAATCCCTTTTCCACTTAATTGATATACTCTTACGACAAATATATTTCTGTTCCTATAATGTCTGCTTTCAGTTCATTAATCATTACAATAAAAATAAAGCAAAATATTTAATATTATCTAATAATAGACTTTAAGAAATACAAACAATTTAAGCTGAAATGATGTTCAAACCTTAACTAAACACTTATCACATAAAAGTTGACCGTTTCTTACCGGGAGGTTCGACCGTATTAATTGATTTATTGAATTAAATTTACTTTTATTTGTATTTATTTTGTTTTCTCGTCTCTATTTGAGAGTAACTTTATTAATAGTCTTTTATTAATTATAATAATATTGATATTATGTTTCTATAGTATTGTTATAATTTTCAATTAATAATCGATTACTGACTTGAAAGCAATTTAATCACAAACGAAAGTTTATTTTGAATAAATTTGGATTGTATTTAAATACTAATAACTATTATTAAGATATAGTTACATGATAAATTAATAACATTATCTATAATTAAAATAATTTATAATACCTAACATTATATTAACAATTTACATTTACTCTTAAACATGATAATACATTACATTACATTTAATTGATTACATGTATTTCTGTTAAATATCTATTATTGTTTGTATATCTAATTGACATTTATAATTGATAATTAAGTTATCACATATCACATAAATTATTTAAATAAAATACAAAATAATAATTGTATGTCTAAATGTGTGTATAGGCTGAAAATAAAGAGAGTGGTAAATTAGCCGCCGCTAAGATATGCGAACTCAAAGGCGAAGATGAATTGCAAGACTTCACGGTTGAGATCGATATATTGGCCGAATGTCGGCACCAAAATGTGGTCGAATTACTCGAAGCCTTCTTCTATGAGGGAAGACTTTGGGTTCGTTTCCATTCATCACTTGTTTTTCACTCAATTGTAACTCAAATTTAATTGTTATTCAGATGTTGATTGAGTTCTGTGAGGGCGGAGCTATTGACTCAATTATGATTGATTTGGAAAAACCATTGACCGAAAGCCAAATCAAATACGTTTGCCTTCATATGTGTAAAGGATTAGAGTATTTGCATAAAAATAAGATCATTCACAGAGATTTAAAAGCCGGCAATGTTTTGTTGACACTCGACGGAGAGGTCAAGTTAGGTATGTCTCACTATTCTTCTCATTCCTTCACTTTTTACATCTATTTTAATATTTTTAGCCGATTTTGGAGTTTCGGCCAAAAATAAACACACTCTTCAGAAAAGGGACTCATTTATTGGAACTCCTTATTGGTATGAAATGAATATATAATTTGTGATTAAATGTTTACCATTTGTGTGCTGACACATAGGATGGCTCCTGAAGTGGTAATGTGTGAGACATTTCGTGATAATCCATATGACTATAAGGCAGACATTTGGTCATTGGGTGAGTAATAAAGACTTAACTTTATTGTTAAATAATTGTTGTGTATTAAATGTTTGGACACTAGGAGTGACACTAATAGAATTCGCTCAAATGGAACCGCCGAACCATCAAATGGCACCCATGAGGGTATTGCTCAAAGTGCAGAAAGCAGATCCACCCAAACTGGACAAGCCTTCCCTTTGGAGCAAACAATTCAATGACTTCTTAGCCTTTTGTCTCGTCAAAGATCCCGCACAACGACCTAATTCTACAGACCTGTTAAACCATCCTTTCATTAAGGATTTTAGTGATAAAAAGCCAATTTTAGCCCTCATTAGTGAGTATAAGGCAGAGGTTGTCGAAGAAGTGGTCACCGAAGAGAATGAAGACGAGATTATTGAGGTATAAACTTGTTCTCTCGCTCTCTATATCTTTACATTCTTTACTCTCTTTGCTTCTCTGCTTAACATATTCTTCATAAGACGGGTATTCAATACTATTATCTATTTTTCTCACTTTTAAATAAGCTATTATATAATGTCTTATGTTTACTATAATGCTATTTGTTTTGATGTTTATAAACATTATAAAAATGATGTGTTACTCAAGCTGTGAATGATTTACAGGAACCCAATTCTGTTCGACAAACTGTTATAAAGGAATCTCAGATAAATACTGACGAAAATGAGACGAAAAATGAGATAAAATCAACTGAAGTTAAAGAAGTGGTTTCAAAAGCTGAAGATTCACATAAAAGTGTGGATTTGAGTAAAGAAAGTGCTAATAAATCTGTCAAAGAAAATGCAATGTCTGTTACGAGCCATACTCCCCATCAGAAACGACAAGCGCCTAAACCCCCGCCAATGAATTCCATTATTGAGACCAACAATTATAATGAATCCAATGTTACGAATGAGACGAGTATTGAAAAAGTAATTGGGAAACCAATTGAAGAGCAAATTAAAGACAATGAGATTAATGTGGAACCAAATGTTGAAATTATTGGAACCGATATAACAGAAACGACTGAAACTAATCAAAACGAAGAGTCATTAATTAGTGGCTATGAAGTGACGGTATCTTCAAATCACAGCACAATCATTAAGACGTTAGAAGATTCTAATCCCGATATGTCTCACGTCTCGATTGTTACCATCGATAACAACGGCAGAGACGTTATGATACAAACGACTAATGACGAGACCTCTTCCGAGTCTGATGTGACGAATTCAGTGAATTCTTATATGAATGGTTCCAACGATGAGGTAGTGATCGTTCGCAACCCCACTAGTGATAAAATTGTGGTCACCACTGAATACATGCCATCAAACG